TTCTTCTGCTATTTCAGCTATAGTTCTGCTACTTTATGCTATTCTTCTGCTATTTCAGCTTACGTTTTGGCCAAATGGCATTCACACTTGCATTTTCGTAGGAAATGCAACTTCTCTAGTTGCTTTTACTTTTATACTTTAAGTAGTTTTAAAACCAGTACTTTTATACTTTTACTTGAGTAAAAAGCTCGAGTTGATACTTCTACTTTCAAAAAAATATTTTTAAACCCTAGTATCTATACTTCTACTTAAGTAATGAATGTGAATACTTTTGACACCTCTGGTGGTTGGTCTTGCCACTTACTTGCAGATATTTGTCCAGATTTTCTAAATCTTTTGATGAAATTACGAACTAAAGATGATAAAAAATATTTGCTCCATGCAATTGTTTACAAAGTGGTGAACCTTGTCTTATCCTTGCTTATCTTTGATCGAGCCTTTCAGGGATGCTCTCTTTATACAAATCATGACACTCACCTGTTACGAGTCAACCTGTTCAACTGTGAAATGCTCCAAACTGGTGTTTTTTTAAAGCATTCTTCAACTTTCCAAGTCTTTTGTTTTTCCTGTCTCAGCCTTTTTTGGAACTTGTTGCATCAAATTCAAAATGAGTAAATATTTAGGGGAATAAACAAAGTGTATCCATTTGAACATTAAATATCTTGTTGTTGTAATGTATTCAACTGAATATAGGTTGAAAATGATCTGCACATCATTGCATTCTGTTTTAATATGTTTTACCCAATGTTCTAACTTCATTGGATTTGGGGTTGTATAAATGAACAGAGAACCAGAGTTAATATCATACTAAATATGTTACAATTGTTGTACTTCAAAGTGCAAAATTGACTACTGTAAATACATTTTTTGCATAATTTTGTCCAGGAACTTTAATCCAAAAACGTGCGTTTTGGATACTCCAAGAAGACACGATGTAAAAATGAATGTCTGAGTGATTTGTTGTATTGAACACTAGCACGAGTGCTGGAGGATGCTCCGTGGTGACATCTTCTGTTAGCACCTTCCCAACAACATCAGCATGCAGGTCAGCAGAAAAACAGAAAAAGCAACAACCATAACTGAAATGCACTTGAGCATAATCTCTGTTCTGGAAGTTTATCTGCCATAGCTTCCATATCTCACTCACAGATAATCTGGTTATTTTATAGGGATTACTGTAGATGAAAGCTCAGCACAAGGTCCTAAATTAATTTCACAGTCAATGGCTTTCTTAAACCACGCTGAAACAACAATGATAGTTTGTTTCTGTACATCATTGTCATTCCCTTTTAAATCACTAATTTAATGTTAAATAGCTAATAGGTGTGATCGACTCAGTGACAATTACTTTTAAAACCAATGCAGTGAATAAGAAGTGTAAAGAAAGCTGCAAAAGAAAACTGCAGTTACTGATGCAGGAGGCTTTGTTGTTGCTCGTGAACAATTAAGGAGATGAAAACTGTGCAGTCAGTGCTGGGAGGACAAATTTGACAAAAGCGTCCCTGGCATAAATGTAGATGCCTGTGCGATTGAGCTTTTCTACTCCATGCAGGAAGTCAACTAAGAGGAACAGAATGACCAAAGAGTTCATGTAGCTTCACGATGCTTCGCACTAAAACTGAGGGCAATAGCCTGGATAAGTGCACCCCTACGAAAAATTAGATTCTAGTCGTTCTCTCTGCTGCCTCAGCCTTTTGATCCAAGTGGGGTGTTATGGCTCTGTCAGTAATTCAGATTTGCTGCGGAGAACATAAAGGCAGGGAAAAGACCAGTTTGAGAGATGGAGCACCAAGGTTAATGAGACGAAAGATGCATTTTTCATTTCCTAAATTGAACAAAACAACTAGACTGTAAAACTTTAAAAAATGAGTTAAAACCAGTCAAATCTTGACATCTATTTAGCAAAATGATTGGTTCTGGAAGGGGACTTAATAAATTAATGTGCTGTTTCTAATTCACTAAAACCAGGAAGCAAAACAACACCTAAGAATGTGTCTGAGGAGATCAGCACTGTTGGTGCTGAAATAAACACAAAAAAATTGTCAAGATACTCAATTGCTTCCTATTTACAATGCATTTCATAAGGGATTTTTTTTTAATTTTGACAATTCTTCAACCCAAAATGTCTAAATCCTGTCTTTGTACTACCTGTGATCCTTTCAGAGGAAAAGCAGGAGGAAGAGCGAGAGGAAGAGGAGCCACTGACAAAAAAGGATGAAGAGGAGCGACGCATAGCAGAAATGGGCCGCCCCATGCTGGGTGATCATCCCAAACTGGAGGTTGTTATTGAGGAATCGTATGAGTTCAAGGTAAGCACAATGTAGGGATACTGAATCCTTTCCACCTTGAAGACAAAGCATTCAAACGGCAGAACAGACTTTAAAAAAATCTCAGACTTCTCAATCTGACTTCTGCTTCACTAAGTTAAACGACATCAATGAGAGAACAACCAAATCTAAAAACAAGACTTTGAAATGTTTTTTTGTTTGTTTCATTTTGTTCTGCATTCAAATCTTGACCAGAAACTGCACAATGTCTTGTTTTGTACAATCTCAAATCTATTTGCTACATAAAGAAAAGTGTTGCATAACGACTGTGCACCGTTTTATCGCTATTCTTCTCCCACTCAGACACTTAAGACTGGCTCAGATGTAATTACCATCCATGTTACATTCTGTGTGTACTAATGCATGCTTTTCTTTTTCCTTTTTTTTTTTTACGCCGTCACTCCACCTACGGTCTCACTTGAGACGAACAATTAATAACCCCCAGTAATAGCTTGCCACTTGACAGGATACCATACTTTGTCAAAGGCTTCAGTGCATGAAATTATACTTTTTGTAAGCGTCTGTGCGGAACAGGATCCTATAGTTATCTGAAGTACTGCCCTTTGGATGACAGTGTGGTGTTGTTGTGTTTGACAGCAGATGACAAAAAGGGAGAAGAACAGGTTTAAAATGAGAACTGTAGAGAGTTTAATTCCAGATTGAAAAGTTTGATTTGAAAAGGAAGAAAAACGTTTTAGATGAAAAATGTTTTAGTGACTGACAGCAGTGTTTGCAGTGAAAAGAAGTATATCAAAACAAAAATACAATACAAGTTGTACCAAAAAAAAGAAGGTTATTTGTGGTTCTACAGAAAATGTTTTGTCTGATGTTAGTCTTTTTTATAACCTGTTGTCCACAGGAAAATGTTTTCTGAAACAATCATTTTGTCATTTCTGGAAATATTCTTGTAACCACACCGTTTTCCTCAAATCGGAAAGTAAACTAAAGAATTTTATATAAAAGTTAACAAAGCCTAAATCCAACTGCAATTTGTCTCATTGCAGTTGTCCAAAATTTTCTCCACTCACCAAGTGGTTATGATTTGACATTGTATCACTGGTCCTTTTTATTTTTAGTCAGACTGATGAAGCCCTCTAGGCTCATGGGCATCGTGCCTTTAAACACATAACATGTAATGGCCTCCGTTATTTCTTCATGCCGGTTTGATGTTTTCTCAGAGTTCCACTTGCAAACTTGCTTGTACTTGTCCTAATGTTTGCAGTTTTGGTCTTGCTAGCAGTAACTTTTTGGAATTCTTAGGTCTCTGTGGTTGTGTTAATGGTGACAGTGGAGTTTAGTTGTGTCTCTTGCAGAGTGCCTTTGTTTGTAGAACAGTGTCTCTTTTGAAACCAAAATAATTCTATTTAAGAGACCTTTCATTATGTTTTTTTAACCACAGGTTCTTCATTACTAACATTTTCCTCACTTTTCTTGCTCTCAGCCGTTGTGCCACTCTTTAAACTTGCTCAGTTGTTTGCTTTCCACTCGTGTCTACAGGGGACAGACATCTACCTGGTTAGCCAAGTATGTGCAGGGCTACATTTCATTGGTCAAATTCTTCAAGCTTCTTGATTTACTAAAGATACTGTAAATGTATCAAGTACAGTATAAATGCAAACATTTAAGCCAAGCATTTATCACAGTTTTTTGTGATATGTCCATCGCATTGACAATAAGTTTTCAATATGCAGCCCTTAACTATGCCATACCTGTATGACACTGTAACACTAAAATTCACAAAAATCAAGAAAAAGGAGTCGTGTATTAACATAAGGTTTGCACACTTGATGCTAAATTAAACCCAACAAGAAGATGAGGCCAGCGGGTCACAGGTTAAATTGCACATGGGGCTTTTACATCAGTTTTGAAAAGGTTACATTTTTGTGAATTTTTTTTTTGTAGTCTGGAATCTAAATAAAAAAAATACTGTCTGCTAAAACACCATTTTTGCGTTGACACAAAGCTAAATTTTGCATTGACGGCCATCTTAAGTGTTGCTTACTTGTTCTTCCTATTCCTAACTGATTCTTTTTACAGCATGATGTATGTAAACAGAATTTGTTCTGTTGAATCCACAAACTGCATAGAATACACAAAGGATGGTGATTTTAATGTGTACAAGCATCAAAAGTTTGTCTTTTCATGTTATTTGTATTTGTAGCACTACAAACGCGAAAGAAAGCTGCAGTTCGATTTTCCACTTTACACCAGTTCAGTTACATAAAACCAAAACCAAACCCATGCAAGCCAACAGCATCGCAGAATAAGACAGCTTTCCAAAAACCAAGTTAATTGTGATTCAACAAACTCTCTATTGAAAATGCAGAGTAAAGCTGGTTGTGAATCTGAGTCCACAACGACAGAGAGGCACTATTTACATCACTAAGCTCCATTCAACACAATGAGCATCCCACTTTTCTCTCTGAAGTGCACAGAAAGGAGTGCAATCCCCACTGCTCCACTGATTAGTTCTATGTGTGAGTCTGCTGTGTGTGCGTGTGTACAAGTCATTTTTGTCATCCTTACATGATAGTTCCTTTTTTTTAATGAAAGAAACGAAATCAAAAGATTTCTAAAGAAATTTTCAAAAGTGGAAGTACAGAAGTCAATAGTACAAACCAGCCTTTTTTTTGCTTATTGTATCATAATATACACGAGTTAACTTTGGGAAATAGTGGAAATGAAACCATTTCATCTCCATCTTCTTCCGCCTTTTTAATAGTGAAGGGCTACATTTGATTTGAAAACCATTTCAAATATATAAAAACTGTCAATTTATTTACCATGACTTTCTGAAAACTTGTATAATAATACAATTGTGCTATTGTCTTACAATGTAGCCTATTTATTATCCTATACAAACTGGAAATTAAAAATATACCTTATTGTGGCAGCAATTGCTATGGCAAATGGCAATATTTAGAGGAAAATAAGACATCTGGAAAATGAGACCATGGCACTTTATTTTAGTATGTCAGCTACAAGTAGCTCCAGAAAAGTAGCTAAAACATTTGAGAAAAATGAAACAGCTAAAAAGAAAAGGGAAGAGGGGAGTAAAAGTAGTTTACAAAAATGAAAGTTAGTTGAAGTTGAAACAAAATAAACCTGATTCATTCATTTCGTGACTGGAAGAGTCAATACTGTCCCCAAGCTTTCATACTAGATATGAAAAATATATATTTCTGCTTTTAATAAAGCACTGAAGGCATTTGTGGCCTGTGCTGGCAAAATGATTTAGAACTCACACAAGCTGCAGTATGTAAAACAGTAAAATATTGACTTTTTTATGTAATTGAGACGATTAGTCCACAAAGATACCAGCAACCTTTGTGGCATCTTCCATTTCACCTAGAAAAGTAGGGAAATGAGTCCAAAGTGTGTTTTTATTCTAATTTGAATTCTGACATTATTTTTTTACACCTTTTGACAGAACACAGTGGACAAGCTCATAAAGAAGACCAACCTGGCCCTGCTGGTAGGAACCAACAGCTGGAGAGACCAGTTCATAGAAGCCATCACTGTAAGCGCAGGTAAGATTTAAAGACAATGATGCTGAATGTGTGTGTGTCTGTATTGGTAGATATTTGTGGACATTATATTATGCATATGTCGTAGGGTTAGGGGTCAGGTTGAGGGTAAGGCTATAGACATTAATGGAGGTCAGTGCAAAATCCACAAATCTAGAGAGACGAGTGTGCGTTTGTGTGCGTGTGTTTGTCACATCGAGCTCCTCATCCAGTTCTGAATTTCAACTAAATTCATTAAAAGTGGTTTTATGAAGCAGTGATGTTTAATTTCTCTTTTTTTAATACAAACAGCTGCATGTTTATGATCTCTGAACCCTCAAGTGTCCTTGGTTTGGTTAATTAAAAATTCAATGAGACCCAAAACATCAGAAAACCTCTGTGATGAAATTGGAAGGTTTCATGACTCCACAGAGGTGTGTGAGAGCTGGTTTCTGTTTTTCTTTCTGAGATCATTTTTGATTGTCTGGGCTGACAGACACTGAGCAGATGGGAGATGATGTTGATGGCTGTTGTGTGAGTGACTGTGTGTGGTTCTGCCTCCACAAAGACAAAAGAACAAAGGTGTTTGGATATACTGTATATTTATAGGGAAGACATGGCTAAAAAAAGAATTTCTGTAGTGATGACCATATGTTCATGTCTTGAAAATCGTTGGTATTAAAAACTTGTCCTACCTGCAGGCAGCAGGTATGACCCTTCTGTTTTTATTGCTGAAGAAAAAAGAAGCACCAGATGGAGAATTTTATGCTGGCTTCACATCAGCTGTAACGTGTACATTGCATGTGGCTTGCTATTTACCCAAATTAGCAGTATTACTTTCTTGCATAGCATTGGGACCATAAAAGTCCACAGTTTATTGCAGTCCAAATCATCTACTGCAATATTGATGTTGGTCATATTGATGCAATGACATCATCCCAGCAGGTATAACATTTTCACTGGAAACACAGTGAACAGCTGGTTGTTGATATAAAGCTAAAATTTTAAATATTCATATTCTGTATTTTGCTGCAAACTGCTTTGCTTGCTTTTTGCATCAAAACTGGAAGTGCACCAAAAGTCTTGATGGCACAAGGCTTGATACTCATGCCATGCAGCCATGTGTTTGCTCCAGTCTGTTAATATGGGAGCCAAATTGAAAACTTTGGCATCCAGCATGTTTAACATCCCAATCCCAAAGTCCAGCTCATCAGATCAAAAACCTATTCATCTCATCATAAATTTATTCTTATGTAGTGGAAAATATGTATTATGTTGTCATCTTTTCTCTTCAGGCTAGTCAAAGATGAATACTGGTGTAGTTGGTATAGTTTTGTTTTTTCCATTTCCGTTTATTTTAATGTTAAGCTGAATTTTTTCTAACTAAAACTCACACAGAGACAAAAAAAAGTTATTGATCTTTGAATATTAGAAACTTATATCTGTGTCAAAATCTGTTCTGAGATTAGGTTCCTTTCAAAGGAAGTGAAAAGAGGAGCAGAGATTCTTATATACAAAATATGAGATGATGTGAAAAAAATAAATCTAATTTATTGAGTGAAACATTTGAATTTATGGAGTGAAATTTTGCGAAGATAAATTAATTAGAAAGAGGTGATTTAATGGTGTTGTGGAGATAACAAAAAAATTCTAGTGACATTTTTAGCTAGAGCAACATTAGTCGCCAAGTCCAAGTGTGTGCTTGGCTGTCATTTTAATTTTTACACAAGAGACAACAAATTGAAGACATGGATCAGTTCTGAGTTTTTAAATTGTTGTGTGTTGTGTATGTGATCCTTCTTTAAAGCACGTTTTTACCCATAATAAAAAAACATGTAATAATGTAATAAGTAGAAAAACAGTAAGAAATCAACCAAACACTGTTGACTTTGTTAAATATATCACCAAAAACATCCTGCCTATAAAGCTGCATGATTGTATTTGTGGTTAACTCGTTTTTTTAAATGAAAAGCAAAGTTTCTGTGCGTCATCATCGCTCTGACCTTGGTAATGAATCTGTTTTTGTTGTTTAATCCCACAACAGGGTGCTTGCACAAATCACTTCATCTCATTATTGAGGCTCTGTTGATATCTTGTTTAGCATCACAAAGGCAAATGAAAGGTGGATTAGCTTCAATCCCTCTCACCATCTCAGTCCATTCAGTAAACACACAGGTGGCCAGAAGGTGTGTAAATCCAGGCTTGGTGTTTTGTGCAAGTGTCTTCAGATGACTTTATCCTAGTAGTAGAAATAAAACCTTGTGTGGCTGTGTTCTCAAAAGTCTTCTGAGAGAGACATTATTGTTTTTTTGTGGCACACACATCGTTCATTACAGCGCTGTATTCATACACTGAATAATTTCTCCTTAATCCAGTACTTTTTATCCCCTTAATAAAAACCAATCTGAGGAAAGTTTTAAACCTTCAGCTTTTAAACCTGAAATTGATTGGATAGTGAGTTTTCATACTTTTGAGAATAAGAGCTGATTGGATGCTTGAAGATCAAAGCTGCCGTTTATATCCAGCTGTGAAACAACGTGTGAGAGCAGGGGAGGAGGGAACTCAAAGAGCTGATGAGAGAAACTGAGCTCATGCTGAGCCATAAAAAATGAAAGCAGAAATTCTCATCCATTCGTTTGAACTGTAATTATTATTTTCCATGTATTGTACAATTTCAAAATGTACCATACAGTCAATGTTGGGCTGCATATACAGGGAGTTGTTTTCATTCAGTCACCAAGATACTTCAACATCTAAACAATGTTGTTACTGCTTAAGCACTAAAAGGGTTCATATTTATGTTTATTTAATTTGAAATAGTTAGAAATTAGCTGACTTTAGTTGTTTAAAATTACTTCAAGATATTTTTCTTTCAAGTGAAACTATACTCTGAATAAAAAAAGATACACAAAATTCTGAAACTAATAAAGTCTTGCATTGTGGTCATTAGTTTATATACAGTACATTTGTCTTTCACCTGCCTTAATCATTGTGTATTTCAGTAAAGATAGCAGTGTTTTAAGTTCTTTTTGTCAAGTTTTTTAGTGTGTAATATACATTGCAGGAGGTAAACAAACTTTACTTGTGTAAAAAACATAAATCCAGGATGAAGGTATGTGAAAAATAGGAAGGATATAGGATATATCCTTCCTATATCCTATATTAGGATATAGGAAGATATATATA